AAAAAAAAAAAAAAAAAAAAAAAGAATGCCTGGCTCTAGATTTCATATCAGTTAACTCTTTTGCTTTCTTCTGGATAAACTTAAAATTATACTATCTTTTATTTTTATTTATCTATTTTTTGAGACAGAGTCTTATTATATCAGGCTGGAGTACAATGGCGTGATCTCATTGCAACCTTTGCCTCCCGGGTTCAAGTGATTCTCCTGCCTTAGCCTCCCAAGTAGCTGGGATTACAGGTTTGCGCCACAACGTGTGGCTAATTTTTGTATTTTTAGTGGAGTCAGGGTTTCGCCATGTTGGCCAGGCTGGTCTTGAACTCCTGACCTCAGGTGACCCACCCGCCTTGGCCTCCCAAAGTGCAGGGATTACAGGCTTGAGCCACCATGCCCAGGCTATACCACCTTTTAAAATGAACAAAATTAAGAAAACTACTGTTTGAGGAACGATAAAAAGGAGAGGGAGAGGAAAGGAAAAGACCCTGCAGCGTCAGCCTGAAGAAAGCTCCCCTCGCCAACACTGCTGTAGCAGTCATGTTCTTGGCACCCCCTCTTCAGTTCTCTTGCCCCCTTGAAAGCACCTGACCTGGCTTTCAGATTGGGGAATCTGAGCCCTGATCCTTCCAAACACAGAATTCAATAAAACCCTAATTTTGAAATTAATCACATTAAAGTTCTGAAAAATCTCTTGGGGCTCTTATATATTCACCTTAGACTGCAATTAGACTTGTGACTGGATTTCTGCCTTGGGAAGCATCCAGTCTAAAAGGAAAGAAAAGGCCGGTGCAATGGCTCATGTGTGTATTCCCAACACTTAGAGAAGCTGAAATGGGCAGATCACCTGAGGTCAAGAGTTTGAGACTAGCCTGGTGAAACCCCGTTGTTACTAAAAATACAAAAATTAGCCAGGCACAGTGGCGCGTGCCTGAAATCCCAGCTACTCTGGACGCTGAGGCAGGAGACTTGCTTGACCTTGGGGGGTGGAGGTGGCAGTGAGCCGAGATAGTGCAAATGCACTCCAGCCTGGGCGACAGAGCAGGACTCCGTCTCAAAAAAAAAAAAAAAAAAAAAGGGAAAAAAAATTAAGGTGACCCTCTCCTTGTCAGGAAATGGACAAGGAATATGGATGTATAGGTTTCCAGTCTAGTCCACAGAGGCTTCACTTAAAAGCTAGGTCAACTAGACCAGGCGGGGTGGCTCATGCCTGTAATCCCAGCACTTTGGGAGGCTGACGCAGGAGGATCACCTGAGGTCAGGATCAACCTGACCAACATGGAGAAACCCTGTCTCTACTAAAAATACAAAATTAGCTGGATGTGGTGGTGCATGCCTGTAATCCCAGCTACTCAGGCGTCTGAGGCAGAAGAATCACTTGAACCCGGGAGGCGAAGGTTGTGTTGAGCTGAGATCATGCCATTGCATTCCAGCCTGGGCAACAATAGTGAAACTCTGTCTCAAAAAACAACAACAACAAAAACTAGATCAACTATAGAACTGTAGACCCAGACTAGTGTAACTAATTCAAGAAAAGCAGCATTTCTAGTGGATTTTTCTGCTACCCGGAGAACACCAAGATTTGGGGCCCCATCACCACATCTGCTTGCCAGGCAGTTGAGACAGTGAAGCCCTTTGTTTGCTTCATGCCAATAGAGAGGTTTTTTTTCTCCTCCTCCCCCACTCCCCCCCTTTTTTTCTCTCAGCAGAATCAGAAAAGTATTTTAAATTGTAGATTTGGAAGAAGGGAAGGAATGAATCCAGCACTGCCAGTGGTAATAGCTGAGGGTGAGGAAGCTTCCAGAGGGAGGGTTAAAGTTAAGGGTCTTTGGAAGTGTTGATACACCACGCAGCTAAGATGAAAGTTTGGGGGGAATCTCCAGCCAGGCATTTCATAGAGAAATGTTTGGGAAAATTCCTGAGGTTTGACCAGTTTGACTAGTTTAGAGAGGTGATTCATTAGGGAGCTATGGCTGAGTGTGAAAGTTATCACCTACCTACACATACAGAAAACACCTAGATTGTTAATTTATTGGCGGGCTGGGTGCGGTGGCTCACTCATGTAATCCTAGCACTTTGGGAGGCGGAGGTGGGCAAATCACAAGGTCAAGAGATCGAGACCTTCCTGGCCAACATGGTGAAACCCTGTCTCTTAAAAAAAAAAAAAAGAAAGAAAGAAAAAAAAATTTATTGGCAACATCAGTTTAGATCAGCGAATTAGAAACAAATGAATACTTCAATTCCATAGAGGTTTTTTGATAGTGGACACGTGTGTGTGTGTGTTTGTGTGTGCAGATGTACAAGTGAAGAATACCAGTTGAGCAAAGTGTTCAAAAACAGGATTATTCCCTTCAACAATAACTTCTTTCCTCCACCTGTGCTCAAGGAGTATTGGCATGGCAATGAGACTATTTATTTTCTTTTTTTCCCTCTCTTTGGTAATTGTAAACACAGTACTATTCAACCCCCTCACATTTTTCTTTCAGGAAAAAAAGGGGGGAGGGCAAAAAAATTACTAAATGCAATTGTATTTAAGAGTAAGGAGAATCCGCAGGAAATTGCAATCTAGTGTAAAAACTTAGACACAGGCCGGGCGCGGTGGCTCAAGCCTGTAATCCCAGCACTTTGGGAGGCCGAGGCGGGTGGATCACAAGGTCAAGAGATCGAGACCATCCTGGTCAACACGGTGAAACCCCGTCTCTACTAAAACTACAAAAAATTAGCTGGGCATGGTGGCGCGTGTCTGTAGTCCCAGCTACTCAGGAGGCTGAGGCAGGAGAATTGCCTGAACCCAGGTGGCGGAGGTTGTGGTGAGCCGAGATCGCGCCATTGCACTCCAGCCTGGGTAACAAGAGCGAAACTCTGTCTCAAAAAAAAAAAAAAAAAAAAACTTAGACACATTCAACCTGGCCAACATGGCAAAACCCCGTCTCTACTAAAAATACAAAAATTAGCTGGGCGTGGTGGCACGTCCTGTAATTTCAGCTACTCGGGAGGCTGAGGCAGGCGAATTGCTTGAATGCTACAGGCAGAGGTTGCCTTAAGCCGAGATCGCACCCCTGCACTCCAGCCTGAGCGACAGAGCGTCAAAACCACCATAAATAACCTGAGATTTTAGAGGAGCTAGTAAGTAGAACCTGAGTCACCACCTCTCCTGCTTTCCGGCATCACTCCACACAGTTTAATTAAAGAGGACCACCTGTCAAACAGCTGTACTACCTGATATTAAAGAGTGCTAAACAACCCCCACACCTCCCTCCCAGGCTCACCATCTTGTTACATTTGACCTAAAAATGGTGGACAGCCTAGGGGTTTCAGGGACAGAAAATCTTATTCTGGACTGTGAGGTCCTAGTCCTACACATTGTCCAGGAGTGAACCAGGAATTGAGAAAGCAGAAAGGGTGTCCCGGACGCCAAGCTAGGAATAGGGAGGGAAACAGAGGAACCCAAAAGGCCTTAAGAATGGCCTACATACTAGAAAATTTTTTTCTAACTCCTGGTTGCAGCAAAGGGGAGCAGCTGAGGGCGGGGGCAGGGATGCGACCGACCCACCCCACCCACTGTCCGCCCAGCACTTCCCTTCCTCCTTGGATGGGTGCCCCTGCCTTGCTAAGAACTGCGGTTTAAACAATTGCTTTCCTTGTGAAAAATTAAAGGCTCCCATCCTCAGATGTCCCGTCCTTGTAGGTTAAAGATTATGTCAAAAACTATATTGCATTATCTCTTTACTTCTTCCCATTGCAAATCTAAGATGAAAAAAACATCCGGGAGAGCCTGGCCACCTCTCAGGCAAGACTAGGCCGTTACGCGCCTCCGACAGAGGATCCAAAGCTACCCAGTCCTTCACAGACACAGTCCAATCAGAGTCTCTTAGGCACATCGATGCCCCGCCTCCTTCGACAAGCAAGGTAACTTTCGGGCTCTGGTTGTCTCCAAAATCATCCCACCAACCTCGCACCGCCCTAAAATTACAAGCCCAGCGCAGATCCTTCCTGTCAACAAAGGGAAGGCGGCCAGCATCACCATGGAGACCAACACCCTTCCCACCGCCACTCCCCCTTTCTCTCAGTGCCCCGGTCGCCTCTTGTGAATCCCAGAAGAATCTGGAGAGTTCTGAGCAGGAGGCGGCACCCTGGCCTCTGATTGGTCCAAGGAAGGCTGGGGGCAGGACGGGAGGCGAAACCCCTGGAATATTCCCGACCTGGCAGCCTCATCAGCTCGGTGATTGGATCAGAAGGGAAAAGGCGGGCCTCCGCTACGACTTATAAAAGCCCAGGGGGCGCGCGGTCCTGAAAACCGCCAGACTCAGAAGCAGCATCGGCGGTCTCCTCCACTCTCCGAGAGCCACTCCCGCGGTCCCAAGGCTTCCCACAGCGAACCTGTGCGGCTCCAAGCAGCGGCGCAAAGACTTTCCGGCGTCCGGAAGGAGCGAGCTCTCGTCGCGGATCCAGTCCGCCGTTTCCAGGCCCGAATCTCAGAGGAGCGCAGCAGACAGAGCAGGGCACCGGCATGGCCAAAGCCGCGGCCATCGGCATCGACCTGGGCACCACCTACTCCTGCGTGGGGGTGTTCCAGCACGGCAAGGTGGAGATCATCGCCAACGACCAGGGCAACCGCACCACCCCCAGCTACGTGGCCTTCACGGACACCGAGCGGCTCATCGGGGATGCGGCCAAGAACCAGGTGGCGCTGAACCCGCAGAACACCGTGTTTGACGCGAAGCGGCTGATCGGCCGCAAGTTCGGCGACCCGGTGGTGCAGTCGGACATGAAGCACTGGCCGTTCCAGGTGATCAACGACGGAGACAAGCCCAAGGTGCAGGTGAGCTACAAGGGGGAGACCAAGGCGTTCTACCCCGAGGAGATCTCGTCCATGGTGCTGACCAAGATGAAGGAGATCGCCGAGGCGTACCTGGGCTACCCGGTGACCAACGCGGTGATCACCGTGCCGGCCTACTTCAACGACTCGCAGCGCCAGGCCACCAAGGATGCGGGGGTGATCGCGGGGCTCAACGTGCTGCGGATCATCAACGAGCCCACGGCCGCAGCCATCGCCTACGGCCTGGACCGAACCGGCAAGGGGGAGCGCAACGTGCTCATCTTTGACCTGGGCGGGGGCACCTTCGACGTGTCCATCCTGACCATTGACGACGGCATCTTCGAGGTGAAGGCCACGGCGGGGGACACCCACCTGGGTGGCGAGGACTTTGACAACAGGCTGGTGAACCACTTCGTGGAGGAGTTCAAGAGGAAACACAAGAAGGACATCAGCCAGAACAAGCGAGCCGTGAGGCGGCTGCGCACCGCCTGCGAGAGGGCCAAGAGGACCCTGTCGTCCAGCACCCAGGCCAGCCTGGAGATCGACTCCCTGTTTGAGGGCATCGACTTCTATACGTCCATCACCAGGGCGAGGTTCGAGGAGCTGTGCTCGGACCTGTTCCGAAGCACCCTGGAGCCCGTGGAGAAGGCTCTGCGCGACGCCAAGTTGGACAAGGCCCAGATCCACGACCTGGTCCTGGTCGGGGGCTCCACCCGCATCCCCAAGGTGCAGAAGCTGCTGCAGGACTTCTTCAACGGGCGCGACCTGAACAAGAGCATCAACCCCGACGAGGCTGTGGCGTACGGGGCTGCGGTGCAGGCAGCCATCCTGATGGGGGACAAGTCCGAGAACGTGCAGGACCTGCTGCTGCTGGACGTGGCTCCCTTGTCGCTGGGGCTGGAGACGGCCGGAGGCGTGATGACTGCCCTGATCAAGCGCAACTCCACCATCCCCACCAAGCAGACGCAGATCTTCACCACCTACTCCGACAACCAGCCCGGGGTGCTGATCCAGGTGTATGAGGGCGAGAGAGCCATGACCAAGGACAACAACCTGTTGGGGCGCTTCGAGCTGAGCGGCATCCCTCCGGCCCCCAGAGGCGTGCCCCAGATCGAGGTGACCTTCGACATCGACGCCAACGGCATCCTGAACGTCACGGCCATGGACAAGAGCACGGGCAAGGCCAACAAGATCACCATCACCAACGACAAGGGCCGCCTGAGCAAGGAGGAGATCGAGCGCATGGTGCAGGAGGCGGAGAAGTACAAGGCGGAGGACGAGGTGCAGCGCGAGAGGGTTTCAGCCAAGAACGCCCTGGAGTCGTACGCCTTCAACATGAAGAGCGCCGTGGAGGATGAGGGGCTAAAGGGCAAGATCAGCGAGGCGGACAAGAAGAAGGTGCTGGACAAGTGCCAGGAGGTCATCTCGTGGCTGGACGCCAACACCCTGGCTGAGAAGGA